ATCCCATGGGATATCCAGGCACAGGTGCCACCAGGCAATGCACAGTGACACAGCCCGGATCCCATGGGATATCCAGGCACAGGTGCCACCAGGCAATGCGCTGTGACACAGCCCGGATCCCATGGGATATCCAGGCACAGGTGCCACCAGGCAATGCGCTGTGACACAGCCCGGATCCCATGGGATATCCAGGCACAGGTGCCACCAGGCAATGCACAGTGACACAGCCCGGATCCCATGGGATATCCAGGCACAGGTGCCACCAGGCAATGCACAGTGACACAGCCCGGATCCCATGGGATATCCAGGCACAGGTGCCACCAGGCAATGCACAGTGACACAGCCCGGATCCCATGGGATATCCAGGCACAGGTGCCACCAGGCAATGCACAGTGACACAGCCTGGATCCCATGGGATATCCAGGCACAGGTGCCACCAGGCAATGCACAGTGACACAGCCCGGATCCCATGGGATATCCAGGCACAGGTGCCACCAGGCAATGCGCTGTGACACAGCCCGGATCCCATGGGATTGCCAGGCACAGGTGCCACCAGGCAATGCGCTGTGACACAGCCTGGATCCCATGGCATCTCCAAGCCTTTTCCCACCCCTTCTCTCCCCAGGCAAAGATGCCACCAGCTCCTGGACCCCTCTGCAAGGCAGAACACTGCACCACTGTGGGCTGGCTGATGACCCACGCTGAGCCAGGTGCCTGAAAGCACTCCCCTGCAGGAGAGGGGAAAGCCAGGAGCAGACAGGCTCCACTCCCTGCCAAGGCTCCACCTGACTGCAATGGCATGCCTGGGGACATCTCTTTAACTGCTGCTTTTCCAGCTGAGCAGATGCGGAGAGCTGCTCCTGCTCTCCTCAGGGCCATTGATCCCACAGTGGTGTAACACCCGCCGGCAGTGCCCTTCCTCCATCCCCCACCCCAGCCCAGCACAACACCTGGGCCAAGGTAAATGAGGCTGGCTACCCTCCCACCACCTTTGGCACCTGGTTACAGATTAAACAGCTCCGTGGGCCCAGCTGGAACTCCTCCTGAGAGCACACAGGTCTCAGGGGAGCTGATAAAACCTGCAGGTGCATGCAGCCCCTCCGTGTCCAAACGACCTGGGCAGGACACAGACCTGCGGTGGGACTTTTGGGCTGGGGGAGTGTGCTCAGTTTCTGTCACTTGCCTGCCTTCTGGGGTCTTTCCTCCTCGCTGATCACAAACTGACAGCAATGTACTGATAGCACTGCACTTCTTAGCAACCATCACCATCTGCACTCCCTCCCCGCATCCTGTTTGTCCTGGCTTCCCCAGGAAGGCACAGGGGCACTGCGTATTCCATGTCCTGGCTGCTCAACACAGCTGGCTAAGCCTAAATCTAAAATGTTTTAAAATAAATTAAATGTGTCAAACCAGCACGGTGAGAAAGGGCAGTGCAAGGGAGCATCTGCTTTTACATCTTCAAGCTCATACAATCCTTTCTTTACACTCTCTTGTGCTATTCCTTTTATTTTGTCAAAATAGCTTCGACTTTGGCTGAGTTTTTTTCTGTTTATATTTTTATTCTGAATCGGAAATGTACTGTTGGAGTATTTCCTACAAGTCAGTGAGGTGATGTTTACAAGTTTGCCAAAAAATCGCCTCTGTATGCAAAGGTAAATTTATCACAGTTTCTGGAAGTATTCTGGAAGCCATGCATGAAAATAAATTGGGCTGAAAAACTGTGAATGAACACAGATGAAACTGTGAGCAAAACATAACATATGAGAAGATGACCACCTGCATGAAAGATAAGAAACTGGTAAAATTCCTCAAGATCAGTCTGGGATTATTAACCTGCCACCAGTGAATGCTTCTTTAACATTTATCATGTATTTCCATGCACATACTTATTGCCATTCCAGGCACAAATATGTGCATATATAAATCCTAACGGTACCTGCTGAAGCCAAAATTTTGAGAGGCACTGTCAGTGCAGGAGGAGTTTCTGGACACCATCAGGAATTTCCCCGCGCAAAGGGAGGTCAGGAACTGGAACTGCCCAGGGAGGGTTGGAATGCCCATCCCTGGAGGTGTGCAAGGAGGGCCTGGACGTGGCACTGAGTGCTCTGGGCTGGGTGACAAGGTGGGGATCGGGTGACAGGCTGGACTCGATGGCTGGGAGGGCTTTTCCAACCCCAGGGATTCTGTGATAACCTAACAATCCTGAGGAAGAGTCACGGAAAACGGGGTAACGGGACCCACAGTACAAAATACCGTCACCCTTCTTCACCAAAATAACCAACTGAAATAACCAATTGAAGTACAGGAAGTGTCGCCAACTATGCAGTGACAAATTTTCTGCGAGGCACAGAAAACAAACACGCAGATAACATTACAGGTCATGTATTTCCAGTGGAGACAGGAACACTCTGACGGCACTCCCGTGGCAGAGCATGGAAGAACAGGCCTGCCCCATCTGAAGCCCTGCACCATATCAGTAATGATTTAATTGCCAGCACTAAACCACGGAGATTGTCCTCACAGTGCTCTGAGCAAGCTGCCCCCCAGCAAACCGAACGTGCTGAGGACAATTAACTGCACTGGAAACCCTGTCGGGGAGCAGCAGCCACACAGCACAGGGCTCTGATGCAGGAGCATGCCACAGCAGCTGCTGGCCCAGAGATGCTGCTCACTGCCTCTCTGAGCCATCCTGACAATGAACACCTCCAATCTGCCCTTCAAACACCAAAACCCAAACCAGCTGGGGTGGCTGTGCGTCCACCTGCCACACACAGCTCAGGGTGGGCAAGAAAGGAAACACACACAGCTCCACACACAGCTCCACACACAGCTCCACACACAGCTCAGGGTGGGCAAGAAAGGAAACACACAGAGCTCCACACACAGCTCAGGGTGGGCAAGAAAGGAAACACACACAGCTCCACACACAGCTCCACACACAGCTCCACACACAGCTCCACACACAGCTCAGGGTGGGCAAGAAAGGAAACACACACAGCTCCACACACAGCTCCACACACAGCTCCACACACAGCTCAGGGTGGGCAAGAAAGGAAACACACACAGCTCCACACACAGCTCCACACACAGCTCCACACACAGCTCAGGGTGGGCAAGAAAGGAAACACACACAGCTCCACACACAGCTCCACACACAGCTCCACACACAGCTCAGGGTGGGCAAGAAAGGAAACACACACAGCTCCACACACAGCTCCACACACAGCTCCACACACAGCTCCACACACAGCTCAGGGTGGGCAAGAAAGGAAACACACACAGCTCCACACACAGCTCCACACACAGCTCCACACACAGCTCAGGGTGGGCAAGAAAGGAAAAACAATTGTAAGAGAAAAACCTGCTCCAGTGGCAAAGAGCAACAGATAAGTTTGCACAAGGGTGAGGGCTGGTTCCTGCCCCTGATGCTGTCCTTCTGCAGCTCTTGTTTTAGGGACACGTGCCTTAGGGAAGGCCGAACGTTCTGCAGGGTTGATAGAGGATATAAAAATTAAATCTAATCAAGTAAAGCATGATAACCTCAACAAGCTGACAGCAAGAAATAACACCCTTTATCTGTTTCTGTACATAGATAATATACATATCTATCTATGCACAAGTGAGGCACAAGGGGTAAAGTACTCGGTGTGTTTAATAAATCATTTATATCTTTGCTGAATATCCAAAATGCATTTCCATGCAGATATTGCATCCAGCAGTATCACTCAGTGAGCTTTCTGATCCATTCCAACAGGCATCAGCAGGAAGGACAGGCTGACACAGCAGAGACAAACTAATGCAGAATGGGGTTCCCTCTCACCAGTGTAACTCCTTGGAGGCATTGAAATATTCACAAAATCAATTGCCATTAACCAGAAGCTCCCTACTTCCTTCTACTCCTCAAAAAAAATTGCATTGTGCTCAGTTCAGCTGAGAATTCCAGGGTTAAAAAAATGGAAGGATATTACCACTAGAAAAACAGTAAGAAATGACCTATTGTTCTTGTTTCAGAATACTATTGCATAATCAGCATTTGGAAAAGCTTACAGGGGTTGAAGTAATTTCCATAGCCATGTCAAAGTCTCCAGAGCTCAGAAAGTATCAAGACAATCTGATCTTGACAAATCACACCAATCTACTCTTTTCTCTTTCCCTGACACAGCAATCTCAACTTCAGTTTTGCAGTCAGCCAGTCTCTACCTTCCACAGCTCTCTCTCCCTCTCTAGGCAGCCTGGATTCATGCAGGATTGAGGCATCTTGCACTCTGCTGTCCAGGGCACAAAGGGAAGGGTACAACAACCCAGCTCTGCTCAGGAAATGCCCTGAGCAGAGATAGGACAAATGTCAGATTCAGGCAGACTTGCCACCTTTATTGACCACTTCAGACACCTTGGACCAACCACCTCACCTGATTTCTTACCAGTTTTAATTTACACATTAATGGCTGCAAGATTCCTGAAGGCCACTACAACTCCAGTGGAAAAATAAAAAAGAGTTTGAGGATAGACTTGTGCAAACAGGAACAGTTTTGTGAAGGGAATAAAATGTTACTTTCTTAGAAGTCTGCCTCAAAGCATGGAATTAACATGATACCTGTACCTCCCAGTCAGCTCCCATCAAGGTTTATTTTTAGATGCTCTTTCAGACTCCGCAGAGGGATATTTCCTAGGTGATGTGGCTCAGCCCTAGCTCTCGGTGTCCCAGGAATGGGCCAGGGCTAGGACAGAGAGGCTAACGCTTCCTATGGTTAGTGAATTCAGAGTTAACTCTTGCACACTCTCAGGTCAGTCCCTCCTCTCCCTGCTAAAGGTCTCCTTGGGCTCAGCAGCCCCTCGTGTGCCCAGGGCAGCAGTGCCAGTGAGGACAGAGCCGGGCTGGCCGGGGCAGGAGCTGCTGCCAGCCTCGCCGCCCCGCTCTGGCTGTGTCAGAGCACAGGGGCACAGGACCCTCAGCACACACAGGCAAGACAGACAGACAGACAGACAGGACACGGACCCACCTTGTTGGTGCGCGGGTTGAGCATGAGCGGCTTGCCCTTCTCCTTGGTGTGCAGGCTGCGCCGCGCCATCGCGCAGGGCGCCGCGGCCACGCGCAGTCGGGACAGCATCCTCCTCCTCCTCCTCCTCCTCCGGAGCACCTGGAGAGGCAAGGGCAGCACTGAGGCACCCACAGAGCCCCCCACACACCCACAGGCAGCACTGAGGCACCCACAGAGCCCCCCACACCCACAGCGGGCAAGGGCAGCACTGAGGCACCCACAGAGCCCCACACACCCACAGCGGGCTCCTGCTGCCACGGGGAAGCACCTGCAGCGTGAGACCCCTTTTAGCACCATGAAGGAACAGCCCAGAAGTGCCAGGAGGAGGGAAGGGAAGGAAGGGCTTGGAGTGCCGAGAGCACAGAGTGCAGGGACGCAGGGATCCTCCCGGCAGTGCAGAAATGCCAGCATGTCCCTGTGGAACCGGCACTGGCCCAAATGCCAGCCAGGACAGCACAGCCTGGGCAGCTCAGCCACAAAATCCCCACTGAGAGCCTCCGGAGCTCTCCAACAACAAAACCTCCTGGCCTGGAGAACGGGAGATTCTCTCCTGGCCTGGAGAGAAACCGTGTCTGTCAGCATATTGAAACCCTGCTACGACAAAATGTGGAATTAAAATGGCCAAGAACTCCACTGATCTGTGGATTCCAGGCTTAGATTTTTGCAAGTCCAAACTTTAAAAATAGTTTAAAAAAGGTTTATTTTCAGAGAGACTGTATCCTTTAAAGTAAAGGATGTTCCCCTAAAAGAATTAAAAAGTGTTAGTATAACTCAAGTTCTAATCCTGACAGGCATTAGCAACTCTTGAACTCATTTTACTCCATTATTGATCACACGCTCTTTGGAGAAGAAATTACCATTTATCACATGCTCATATATGGCAGGACCAACAGGGACTGTGCAGTGGAGATCTCTGGAATCCCAAAGATTATTTCACTGAGCCAGAGAGACAATGGAAGCAGGGCAGGACCTCCCCAAGACCAGGGTCTGTGTGGTGACACAGCGAGGGGACCAGCAGAGGGGACCTGTCACCCCCAGCCCAGCTACACACTCACAGCCCAGGCAGGCAGGGACAGCAAAACAGGACATGAGATATTTCTAAGGAATGAAACGATGCATGGCTTGCATTTTTGATTTCTTCCAGATGGGAGACAAAATTGAATTAAAGAACAAAACTTCATTATCTTAAATATCGCCTGAATACTTTAGATGACCTGCTCTAATCAAATTCGCACATAATCAGCTTTTAAGATGGCAGACTGGTCTTACAAGTCACAATCTGAGGATTTTCTCGAAAATCTCTCCAAGCATTAAAAAAATACACATTTAACATTTTTTATCAAAGTTTCTCTCCTACCCACTACCAAGCGTAGAGGGAAGCTGCTCTGCATGCAGAACCATCCCTTCCCCTCAACCTTCACTTGTTTGTTGAGGCCTGTGAATGACAAAACTCCACTCAAACCCCCTGTGTTGGTTAGTTTTGGGGTAAAGACCATAAATTTGCTGCGTGGAGTGGGACAGGAGGCAGGGGAGGAAGCCCTGCCAGCAGCACAAACAAATGTAGCCTCCAACGTGCTTGTTCCTCCCCAAACCTGCTGGTGGTGGAGTGAGCCCTCGCTCGGGAAATCAGGATCAGACTCGGGAAATTAACTCCGTGCTGCAAAACACATTCATTCCGTGCTGCCCTTAGGATCACCAGATTCAGTTCCAGCTGGTTTCAGTTCTGGATGCTCACCTGCCGCCCCCCCACGGCTGCAGGTGCATCTCCCCTTTGTGGCAGGGAGCCCAAAAAGGGGCTGTGACTCCAGCGCCACAGCAAAGCCCATCCCAGAGTCCCATCGGCCTGGTGCCGCCGTGGCATCCACCTGCCACCAGCAAAGACCTTAAACAAGGAATTAAAACTGGGACAGGCACCACACCCTACCGAACTCTAATTAAATTTAAATTACTTTGGTGCAATTAATGAGCATTTAAGAACCAAACAAGATTGTGGCCCAGATTCACCCGAACTTGATCAATTAACTCTAATCAAGGAGGCAGAGTGGAAAAGGCTTTTCAGAGGTGATACAAATCTTGTTTTCTTCCCTGACGTGTGAGAGAGGAGACTTGCTCCTCTCCGAGGTGTCACACCAGCACCTAAAATTATTCTCTTGATGGAAGTATCTGGATTCATAAAAGGGGAGAATCAAGTTTCATTTTCCACCGAGCCCTCTGTTTAGATCCAAGAGATATGATCCCAGTTAATTTATATCCATCACAAAACCTGGCTGGCCACTCAGCTCTGAGCTCTCCCTGCCCTGCTCTTTCCATTGTTCCCTGTTTGTTTCCTCTCCCATCCTGCACATCTCATCCAACTCCTTTTGTCACAGACTTTTGAACGTGGCTCAGCCAGGGCTTTGGGTGGGAAGAGACCTCAAAGCCCCTCCAGTGCCACCCCTGCCATGGGCAGGGACAGTTCCCACTGTCCCAGGCTGCTCCCAGCCCCATCCAGCCTGGCCTGGGGCACTGCCAGGGATCCAGGGGCAGCCACAGCTGCTCTGGGCACCCTGGGCCAGGGCCTGCCCACCCTGCCAGCCAGCAATTCCTAATTCCCAATGTGCCAAAATCTGTGCCTGCCCTCTGGCAGTGGGAGCCATTGCCTGGCTGCTGTCCCTGCCTGCCTTGTCCCCAGGGGCTGTGCAGCTCTCCTGGAGCCCCTGCAGGCCCTGGCAGGGGCTCTGAGGTGTCCCTGGAGCTTCTCTGGTGCAGCTGAGCAGCCCCAGCTGTGCCAGGCTGGCTCCAGAGCAGAGGGGCTCCAGCCCTGGCAGCAGCTCCGTGGGAAAGGGATGAGAACTGCGGGAAAGAGCCGCACCTGCCACGATGTGAAAACACACAAAAAGGACTGAGGATGCGCAACGTCCTGTGAGGAGGAATTAGGAGGAAAACATCAGAATTGAATGAGGAATAAATTCCTGCCCAAACCTATGTCAGCATAACCAGGATCTCAGCTCTCCCTTCAGTGCCTGACAGTGGTGAGAACTACACAAGACTGTGGAGCACCTCTAGGCTGAGTCCAGCACAGCTGGGAATTTTTGAGTTGCTGTGTCACAAATTAAGGGGATTAAATCCTTCAGCACAGCAGAGGACAGCTCCCTGCTGTGCCTTATCAGGAGGCATCTGCCCAGGTCAAACTAATTACCAATACGCACAAGCGCCCTTATCTGGGAGCAAATGTTCTGCTGTTCCAATTATGGATTTGTTAAATGGCAAAACCTACTTTTAAGGGAAAGGTTCATCACGCTCTCAAAAGGCAGAATTAGGCTGGCCAGAGAGTCGGGAAGCTGAGAGTCAATTAAAGCAAGGCCAGCTTCAATTAGTGCCCAGGCTGCCTGACCTGTGGGTCTGCCCTCAGTGCCAGGAGTGCCTGTCCCTGCACAGCAGCTCCTGCTGCATGACTCTGCAGCCTGCCTTCAGCTTGAGGGCTGGGGAAACACAAATGCATTTCCAGCGCTCCCAAAATCCTGTGTCAACTTTGAGGCGTGGGGAAACACAAATGCATTCCCAGTGCCCTTCAAATCCTGTGTCAGGTTTGAGGCGTGGGAAAACACAAATGCATTTCCAGTGCTCCCAAAATCCTGTGTCAAGTTTGAGGGCTGGGGAAACACAAATGCATGTCCAGTGCTCCTGAAATCCCATGTCAGTGATTTTCCAGCCTTTCGTGTACAGAAATTGACCTGTGTTGAGGAGTTTTTTTGCACTGACAAGCTGAAATCATTAATTCAAGGCCATGGAGGCCCCACAGAATTTCCAACCTTTAGGGCCTCAACCATTTCTAAGCCAACAGACATTGTTTCCTGTGCCCCCACAGCCATCCCTCTGAGCCTGCACCATCTCAGGGCTGGGGTGCTTGCACCACACACTCTATTCTCTTTTATCTGTTTTTTTTCATTAATAAACAGCCCAGCCTGTCCCACCCAAGCATGACACAAACCAGGCACGCACTAGCTGGCTTCATCACCTCAGTAATGATAAAGCAGTCTAAAATTATTACATGAGGCGAGCACGGGCTCTAAGTGTGTCTCCCCACGAGACTTCCACCTAAAGAAAGCAGCTCTCCCGGCACCCACCACCCCTCGGCAGGACAAGGAGACACTTTTGCTCCAGAACAGGGGCATCCCAGGAGGAAGGAGCACGTGGCTCTGCACAGCAGCTCGGTGCCTCTGCCTCCCTGAGCCGGCCAGATGCCGCTGCTGAGCAAAGCCAGCACTGAACGGTGGCAAAACTACCTCAGGCTCCCTCCAGCAAAGTCCTGGGCCACCACTCCAAAGGGCATTTCTAAGGCACCTTGAGATCTGCAGATTAACAGGAACAGTCATGGGCAGAAATCACTAATGAAGCGCTTGGCAGAGGCAGGCGGGTTATTTTGGAAGCAGGTCTTTAGCATATTGGAATTGCTTTTCTTCCCGTTCATTCTGAGGCAGCCAGTTCAACAGGAAGAGAAGTCAGGTGTGGAGCAAGCTCACCACTTGAGGCTGGAAACATTCACTGAACAAAGCACACCAGGTGAACTCGGATGGGAACGATTTCACAACTTTCCTAAACAGAGTACTTGTCAATTACTGTAATTCACAGTACTATCAGCCTTCTTGCAGCAGGGCTGAATTGTTTGGTATTGGGGTCTTGGTTGGTAGCAGCTCTTACCAGACAACATCAGAGAGTTGCATTTTTATACATTTATTGACCTAAATATTCTGATTCTTAAGCACCAGAAAGTCCGTTATCTTTTACTGTGGAAACTGCAGCAGCAGTATTTTTGACCATGTCTGACAAGATGTATTGACATCCTTGATTTATTTTAATTTGTGTAACTAGGAGGGCTGCAGGTGGTAAAGGTAAGGACAAAGACCTCATCCTGAACCCCCTCAGAAATACTCCAGGAATAGCAGAAAGGTACTCATCTTTCTGAGAGAGCTGGCACGCCCCTCTGCTGGAGCTGCTCAACTCAGAAACACTGATATTGATTTTTTTTGGATACAGGTTGAGGGGTGCACAAGGATGTTCCCAACATCTGCTGCACTTACAAATGGGAGTTCTTCATGGGAAAGCAGCTCAGCACTGAGCACAGAGAAACCAAGCTGCTGGGAGCTCAGTGCAGGTGAAGTGTACACCTGTCAACCTCTTACAAACCTCAGTGTGTGCTGGCTTTATAAACAAACAAACAAACAAACACAGAAATATATAAATAAATACCCCACCTAAACTACAGAAGAACCTGAGAACCACGCACCACGGGGTACCAGAGCTGCTTCAGCTGCAGGGAAGGCGCTGGCACCACCCGTAAAGATGAGCATTCAATTAGTGCTCACTCAACCACGGCGTGCCACCACGCACTTTGACAGCCTCTGCCTTAGTTTGCAGAGCAAAAAGCTCCAAATCTTGCCTGCGCTCAAGCTGCTGACTCACAAGCCACCGCACAGGATTATCAGAACTTCCCTCCTGTGACTGTAACACGCAGTTTCTTCTAAAATACAGGCTCGGGTTAAATTTCTACAGATGTTATAGCGTCTAATAGGGCATTAGACACTGCTGGCTGCACACACACATGGGCCGCCTGCAGAGCTGCACATTTCTGCCCAGCTCTTTCATTTGCCCATATGTAAATTACAGGTACATATAAAACCTCCCTTTGATGTTCACTACTTTTTGGAATTACCAACACAAACACACCAAATAATCAGCATTTGGTGGTTTTGATCTTGCTTGGCTGCAAGACTGTCCTGTTTCACCAACCCTTTAGCAATGTGCTGTACGTTTGGTTTGCTTTTTCTCCTGTTAATTATGCGATTCTTGCCATGACACAACACCCCGGGCTGCTCAGACAACTCCCCTTAGTCAGTATTTTTTAGCGGAGCGTGGAGCCAGCGACAGCGGCGTGTCAGCCACGGCCGCTCCGCCGAAGGAGCAGCCAGGAGGCCGAACCCAAACAGCGACTCCGGAGCGCCGGGCGGCGCTTCCTGCTCCAAGGCCGCGCCAGCTGCTCCGCTCCTTCCCAACTTTCACTCTCCGGGGCCACGGGGAAGTTGAGGGCAGGTCGGGCCCGGCGCGGGGGGGCGGCGGCAGCGGCTGGGCCCGCTGGGTGGGCGCTCCCCGGGCCTCGGGCAGCTCCCGGCGGGCGGGCTGGCAGCTCCATTTGTCACCGTCCTGACAGGGGTAAACACGCACGGGCGCGGCCGGGGCTGCTTCCCCCGGCTCCTCGCGGGCACCTCCGCACCTGCCGCAGGGGCCGGCGCTGCCTCCGCCGCAGGCCGAGCCGCGGGGCCTCGCACCGCCGTGCTGCTGCTTCGGCACTACCCCCCGCGGGGCCGGGCCGGGGACACGGAGCATCCCGGGCGGGCTCCATCCCCTCCCCGCGCCCGGGCGGCCTCCAGCCCCTCAGAACGCCCCGTAGACACGGGTTTATAAAGAGAGAGAGAGGCCTGTGGTGCGCCGCCGCAGTTGTATAATTGTTACCAGAATGGGATCTACCTCCTCCTGCGGCTGATGCCCGCTGAGCGATGCCGGCCGAGGACCTGTTCCTACTGAGCGAGAACAGCGCCCGCCCGCCGGAGCTGCGTCCACCGCAGAACCCGCCACTGAATGGAGCCTACACCGAGGCGCCGGGGAGGGACACCCCGGGAGGCGGGTGTTGGCCGTGACTGACAACTGAGATAGCCAATAGAAGGGAAGGGAGCTCGCCCGTGGCCGTGGCGTTTGACCAATGAACGTTTTATCCCGCCCCGGCAGAGGGGAAAGGGGGACAGGCACGGCGGGGTGGGATCTGTCACAGGTTAATTGGACTGGTGAGACAGCCAATCAGCGTGGAGGGGCGGGGTGAGGGGCGGGGCTGGGGATGGGCGTGTGAGGGACGGGGAACATGAGGGGAACGTGAGGGGAAGGAAACGGCGATGGGGAACGGGGAACATGAGGGGACGGCAATGGGGAACGGGGAACGTGAGGGGATGGGAATGGGAATGGCCAACAGGGAACGCGAGGGAATGGGAATGGGGATCAGGGAACGTGGAACGTGAGAGGACGGCAATGGCAATGGGGAACGGGGAACGTGGAACGTGAGGGGACAGCAATGGCAATGGGGAGCGGGGAATGTGAGGGGACGGAAATGGCTATGGCAGTGGGGAACGTGAGGGGATGGCAGTGGCAATGGAGAACGTGGAACGTGAGGGAACAGGAATGGCAATGGAGAACGGGGAACGTGAGGGGATGGCAATGGGGAACGGGGAACTTGAGGGGATGGCAATGGCAATCAGGGAATGTGAGGGGACGGGAATGGCAATGGGGAACGGGGAACATGAAGGGAACGTGAGGGAGCAGGAATGGCAATAGGGAACAGGGAATGCAAGGGAACGGGAAACATGAGGGGAGCATGAGGGGATGGGAATGGCAGTGGGGAATGGGGAATGTGAGGGGAATGTGAGGGAACAGGAATGGCAGTGGGGAATGTGAGGGAACAGGAATGGCAATGGGGAACGGGGAATGTGAGGGGAGCGCGAAGGGACAGGAATGGCAGCAGGGAATGGGGAATGCGAGGGCACGGTGATGGCAATGGGGAGCGGGAAATATGAGGGGACGGCAATGGCAGTGGGGAATGGGGAACGTGAGGGGATGGGAACGGGAACAGCAATGGCAGTGGGGGACAGGGAACGTGAGGCGGTGGGAATGGCAATGGGAAACAGGTAACGTGAGGGGACGGGAATGGCAATGGGGAATGGGGAATGTGAGGGGATGGCAATGGGGAACCGGGAACTTGAGGGAATGGGAATAGGGACGGTAATGCCAATGGTGAATGGGGAACCTGAGGGGATGGAAATAGGAACAGCAATGGCAATGGGGAACGGTGAATGCAAGGGGATGAGAATGGTAATGGGGAACGGCGAATGTGAGGGGATGGGAATGGGGAATGGGAAGGGCTGAGAATGGTAATGAGGGATGTGAGGGAATGGGAATGGGGAATGGGAATGGGGAACGGGAGGGGATGGGCATGACAATGGCAATGTCAGTGGGAATGGGGAACGTGAAGGGATGAGGAATGTGAGGGAATGAGGAACGTGTGGGAATGGGGAACGTGAGGGCATGGGAAATGGTAACAGGGAACGTGAGGGGATAGGATCCATGAGGGATTGGAAGACATAAGAAGATGGAGATCTGTGAGGGGATGGGGCTGTGAGGAGCTGGGGTCCATGAGGGGACAGGGCTGTGAGGAGCTGGGGTCCATAAGGAGCCTGGGTCCATGAGGGGACAGGGCTGTGAGTGCCGTGTGGCAGCCAGGACGCTGGGGACCGTGGCTCCACAGGGGCATCCTGCTGTGGAGGAGGCTGAGGGGGAAAGGCAAAGCAGGAGGAAGGAGCAGAGAGCGGTGGCAGGGAATGTGGTCACTCCACACAGAGTTCCTTGTGGCTACATGGAAACTGCTCCCCGTGGCCAGGGCCACCGTGCTGGATGCCCTGCATGGAACAGGGCTCCTCAAAACATGCAGGGCCACAGCGCTGAGGTAAGCCCTGCCTGGTCTGCTGCCTCACGGGGCCTGGAGGGCTGAGGAGCCTTGGACTCAAACAGAGGGCTTGGCAGAAGTCATCGAGGCAGCTAATGCTGCAGGTCAGCACTGAAATTGCAGGAGAAAAGAGCAAAACCATCTCTTTTCACAATAACACTTGGCTGTTTGTCCTCACAATGGTTGGTGGAGGTGACACCCATCCTCAGCTCAGCCTCCACAGAGTTTAGAGAGAGAAAATACAGGGGTGTGAAACACGGCAGCTCAGCCCATCCCAGCCTTTGTCTGCCTTCTCTCCAGCCCAAACTCACATGTTTTACAATGCTGCAGATTTTGAGACTTAATCACAGAATCCTGGAGTGGTTTAGGTTGGAAAAGAGCTTCAATCTCATCCATGGGCAGGGACAGCTCCCACTGTCCCAGGCTGCTCCCAGCCCCATCCAGCCTGGCCTGGGGCACTGCCAGGGATCCAGGGGCAGCCACAGCTGCTCTGGGCACCCTGGGCCAGGGCCTGCCCACCCTGCCAGCCAGCAATTCCTAATTCCCAAGAGCCCATCTCATGCTCCCCCTTTCAGTTAAAAAGATAAATTTCTCTTTTAATGAGAACTTTTATTGAGTAAGAATTTTGGTTCTCTGCCACCGGCACCGAACACGATTTGAATAGTTTGATGTACAAGGAGCACAGTGCAGTTAAAAGAAGCAGAGTCACTATAGTAACAGTATCAGATATGTAAACCTACTTAATCAAAGCCCCCTCTCCTAATTACGATTTTGAGGCCTGTCATGAAGAGCACATTCGGCTGCTTTCCCCCTCCCGTCAGCATGACTGTGGCAGGTTTGAGACGTTTCTGAATAATGCTGCCCTGCTCCTATAAACAAAAGAGATTGCGAAAATAACCTGCAAGGTCATTCCTTTGTGCCAGGCTAAAAATAGCCCAAATTGGAGGCATTTAAAAACGCCTGGCTTCCTACCCAAATTGCACAAATCCCTTCTGCTGTAAACCTGTGTCACTCCAGGCCCGCGGAGGACATTGCCCAGGATCACCTAATGAGCAGCTGGGCCCTGCTGAAACACGCTGCGCAGCACTTTGCTGTGGAAGAAAGGCAGCCTGCAGAGCCGGGCTGTGATTAGTCACACGGAGGAGAACCTGCACCCCGGGGGCTGCGCGCTGGGGCACAGAGCTCCCCGCGGCAGCGGGGCTGGAGGCAGGAGAGCTGTCACTGCCAGGCAGCACCCGCTGCCCTCCTGCCCCTGGCACCGCTTTGGGTCACTCCCAAACCCAGGCTCCCAGCCTTTCCCAGGGCACAGGTCACTGTGCAGAGGGGGCCTGGCCTGCGCTCCCTGCCCCAGCACGGCCCCAGCTGCCTCGGGGCACAGCAGGACGTGGAGCCACAGAGCCATTTGGGTTGGAAAAGCCCTCACACCCTCAGTCCAACCACTCCCCCAGCACTGCCAGGGCCACCACTGACCCATGTCCCCAAGTGCCACATGCCCATGGCTCAGGGGATGGGGACTCAGCACTGGCCTGGGCACTGTGCCAGGGCTGGACAGCCCTTTCCATGGGGAAATTCCTGCTGTGCCCACCCTGAGCCTCCCCATGCCCAGCCTGAGGCCGTTCCCTCTGCTCCTGTCCCTGTTCCCCCCGGCTGTCCCCTCCTGTCAGGAGCTGTGCAGAGCCACAAGGGCCCCCCTGAGCCTCCTTTGCTCCAGGCTCAGCCCCTGCCCAGCTCCCTCAGCCTCTCCTGGGGCTCCAGCCCCTTCCCAGCTCCCTCAGCCCCTCGGTGTCTGTGTCTCAGGACCGGAGGAGCAGCTGCTCCTCCCTCCTCCGCAGGGCTTTTATGGCCGTATTTGGCGCTCTCTCGGAAGTTTCCCCTGGCACACGGAGCTCTGCTGCTCTGCCGCTGCCCGGAGAGGAGCCGTGAGCCCCGGAGCTCCTGGGCTCTGTAGATCCAGCCAGCTCCGAGCTGCCCCCCCGCCTGGAGCAGCCTCCACGAGGGTCACAGCTCGCCCGCTGCGGGGTGGGAATTCATTCAGAAATTTCTAATGCAGCAGATGGCTATTTCATGATCACTCCACATTTCTTGTGCACACAAGAATTGCATTTTACTGGGGTTCCCTTCCAGAGGGGGCCAGTGGTTTGTGCTAAATTAAAACTCCCCAAAATCATCACTGTTTGAAGCCAGTTCTCTTAAATCACACCAAGGTGGTTTCTCAAGTCACTTCCACCATCCTAAAAGAGTAATCTATTTCTCTTTGTGGTCTTCCTAGACTTATGGTCATCTTCTGCTTGGTTTTTTTTTTTTTTCTCTTTGTTGAAGAGAATTTCCTTTTTTCCTCCATTTTTCTCGTGACAAACCACAGTGGTTTTAACCACTTAGTCCCTGATAAAGTACACAGAAGATTTTTGTTCCCCATCCTTGAGATAGTTTTGACTCTCCTTTCCATAACATTTTCAGGTTTTCAAGTATCTTACTTAAAGTGTCATCACCAGCACTGGGCCCTGTGTTCTTGTTTTTCCTGTCACTGATCCTTGATGCAAATAATTAAGCTAAAATAATCTGTTCTAGTTGCCTAGATCTGTCCTTCCATTCCTTCCATGGTGCCTCCCTCCCATAAACTCACTGATAATATAGCTGTGTGTGTACAGCTGATGCAGAACAAATAATTATTTAAGCAGTGATACTGGCTTTTATCTCACTCCAGTCTCAGAAGGTTTTGCGTGGACTAGCAGAACAAGGCATCCCTCAGAAGGCTCCTGTGGTTTGATGAAAACTGGCCTCTTGGCCTTCTGCTCTTTATTTCTGTTAAAAAGCCATGTTGATTGTTCACTCTGACACGCCTGACACTGAGAGATGGCCCTGCTGACTCTTCACATTTACATGAGGCACTAGAGATGATGGCTGCCCCGAGGCAAGGTTTGTGAAGAAAAAGAATGTCTTTTATTACACCAATTCCACTGAAAGAGATTACTGCTCTCCACCAGCCTTGCCCCTTTTGCTTCTTTAGAGCAACCACAGGGCTAAGTGTGTTTTTACACTGTTTCCATTCTTCGCATTCAGTTTCTGACTGGC